AGCAGGAACCATGTTCAGCATATTATCTTCTTTGTACACTTACTGCCTCTCATTTCTGTTTTCTAGGACAGACGTACAAACCTTCCAAAATGATTATTTTAATTCCATGTTTTGCTCTCCTTATCTTCTTGCAAGTTGTGTCTGTTTATTCCACCCTTGGTTTTCCTTCCTGGCTGCCATCTGGGTTGTGCACAAACCCCAGCCAAGCATGAAGGCTCCAGAGGCATAAGGGGAAACATCATGATCAGGAATGTCATCACAAGGGTGCCACAGCTGTGTCTGCAGCACATGCACACACACAGGGAGTCAGGGCTGAGGACGGCACGTACAGATTGATTTATTGATACTAACTCTTCTCCATTACATTTCTAGCCTGGAAAATGGGACACAGCCTGAACTGCTCTGCAGGCCAAAGGGGAAGCTGATTTTTTTCTGTGTGATTCTGGAGCTTGCTTCCCCTTTCTGTGTTTAGCTTTTTGTTTGTGCTCAATGATGTTTGGAAAGAGATCAGATGTAGATTTTGATAGGAAGAATTTTTGTGATCAGAAGCACATGAAAACCACTAACTCTAAAGTCTAACTACCCAGATTCTGAAATATGCAGCTTCCCAAGTTGTCTTAGGAGTTTCTTCTTTCAAGAAGTTGCTATTGGTTGTTACAAAACTTAACCTAAGAGATCGAGCACAACAATTCTGAGGTATTTACAAAGCTTGGCTCTTTCTTCCTATCTTATAATTTAGTTCAGTTTACTGAGCATTTCAGTGCCACATAACTGCATCAGCTAAAGAGCCATTTCCCTTTTGAGATTCATTTTCCTCCAAGGGTGTGAGCAATTCATAAATATTCTGCCTCTGATTTCTCCTTTTTCTTCCCTCAAAATCCTTTCACTTTCAAGCATTTCTGCTTTATTGTCATTTACAAAGGTAAAAGACATACATCTCTAGTATTAATAAAAACATTAAGCCAAACTGGTAAAGCCCAAAACCAGATTTGGTGTAGACTTGTCACTAAATATTTAAGTGACAACTATGCCACCAGACACAGGTATATCAGAAGTCTTCAGAAGACACCATTAACATTTGCCTCCCCCGTTTACAGCTGGAGTTTCTGACCTTCAGTCACTGACTCCACAAGAAGCTCTACGGAGAAAGATGAAACAAATGTCTGACTTGAAATACGGATATTTAAGCACAGAACTGTGACTGAAGGATGTTAAAGGAAAAGGATAAGGAATCAAAGCAGCAGTCAGCACAGTATCACAGCTGACAGAAATTACACTTTCACCAGAGACCCAAAACTCACGTGAGCAGACTCTGATGTGCTGTAGTACAACAACATGAGATAGCAGCTTACGCGGTGCTTAGAAAAACACCATAATCCTCTTACCGGTGACACAGGAAAAGAGAGCAGATTTATGCTGGAGGGAACTAGATCTTCTCTCTTTGGAAAGCATTCTTGAATTGCTTGGTTCATATTTTTCAGCAGTAATGAACATTTTATGCAATTTTGGATTTATGCCTTCTGGAATCATACGTGGGCTGTGCTGGTAGAAATGAAGCGTTTTGTTTCCTGAAATAGCTCGGTGGATGCTCCTTTTGTTAGACTGGCTTTGATTGTAAGTCTGCAAAAGAGATAAATAATATGTTGTTGGATTAGTTTTTTACATGATTTGATCAAAAATAAAAGAACACCTGAGTGCCTGGGGGGGGTTTCTTATTATTTTATGTTCCGTCATCAAGATGGTTCTTTGGTTTTGTTTTTTGTTTTTTCTTTTCTTCCCCAAACACAGCTAAAACAAAATATGATACAAGGCCCTGAGAGCCAACCATACACCCTCTTCTGTGAATATTGTCAGCTGGCTCAACATAACTGTTTGTTCAAGTTCTTGAACTGCAAGTTCCAGACATGCAGTGTGACTCCACATTATGGTAACCGAAGAAGAGAGAGGAAAGGAACAGAAGGACATAGATGAAAACATTAAAGCAATAAGGTTGTATTGAAAATCTGATAAAGAATACATCAAAACATAGCTACTAAGTTATCTTTTTTATTTTCTTTTTTAAAGAGCTTCCTTACTAAAATAAAATCAAATTAAATTTGAATTATCAGGGTTTTGTGCCTAGGTAGGCAAAACATCCCGAGCAAACGTAACAAAAAGCAAGGACATACCAAAGAACAGTGACTGCTCTTTACACTGCAAGCAAGATGAAGTATGAAACAACGTACAGCTTTTTACGTTCTGTAAAAAGACCAGAAGCAGGCACAGCACTGGAAAGAAAAAGAAACACTGCCCTTGCCTGGGGGAATTTACAATCTGCAAGAGATATAGGGATAGAATCATAGAATGGTTTGGATTGGAAGGGACCTTAAAGCTCATCCAGTTCCAACCCCCCTGCCAGCAGCAGGGACACCTTCCACTAGACCAGGTTGCTCAAAGCCTCATCCAGCCTGGCCTTCAACACTTCCAGGGAGGAGCAGCCACAGCTTCTCTGGCCAACCTGGGCCAGTGTCTGACCACCCTCACAGTGAAGAACTTCTTCCTAATATCTCATCTAAACCTCCCCTCTTTCAGCTTAAACCCATTTCCCCTTGTTTTGTCATTAATTGCCCTTATGAAAAGTCTTTCCCCAGCTTTCTTGTAGGCCCCCTACAAGATATAGTACATTAGATTAAATCAGAAACAAAGAAAGAAGGTCAAGCAAATAAATGCATAAAATTACTAGTTAATGCCATGTATGCTCCGAGTCCTTTTAGTGACACTCCATCTTTATTGTGGAACAGAGAAACCAAGACAGAGATGGAGAAACTACAGAAAAGAACTGGTTCCCCTGCTGA